AAGTCGGTTGTCGCAAACACAGGGATCTCTCGAGGCTGCGTTTTTGCGCCATTGGCACGCACAGATTTGTAATGACGCACTTTTTCAATAGCAGTGCGTCCCAAGGGCGCATAAAAAATAAATAACTTTAAAAAACGGAGTTTGTTTGTTCAACATATTTTAAACTTTTAAAATTGGGTATTTTTAAACCCACCAAAATTTTACTAAACTTGGAACAAGTGTCAGTTGGGAAAACCGAACTTAAAGTTCTAGTCTTACGTCTACTGCGTGCGTTCTCTGCGTGGAGAGTACCTTCTCTGCGTAGAGAGTACACCGGAAGTGCAGAGATGGCCGCGCCAAAAGTAAAGCAGCCGAAGCTTTCGTTTTTTTGGCATACGAGTAATGTACCAGATTGCGGACATACTAGTGGTAAAGTACCAGATAGGGAGCCTCCACTAACTTCCGTTAAGAAGTTTCAGCAAAGTTGGCTGCAGAGATTCCCGTGGCTGCGCTTCGACAAGGAAAAGTCAACCACGTGGTGTGCACCATGCAAAAAGGCGGGCAAACGTAATACCATGGTCCGGGGGGTATCGTCAAACCTTCGCACCAGTACGCTCACCCGCCACGTTGGAATGACCGACCATGTGTGTGCTATCCAGGTAACTTAAATAAATTTATTCTGATTCAAAGTCAATTAAAAAACGAGTGATTTTCACCTAAAAGTGTTTCCACGTGTGCAGCCTACTTAGAGATGTATGCACTCGTACAGGGAGTTGAAATTATTTTGAGTTTCTTGTGCATTTGGCCTTGAGCAAGGTACTACGTTTTTGGTGGGATAAGCAGTCAATTAACACTATAATTATGTCTTCCATTTCTATTTGTGTTGTTTTGAATACAATTTGGCAGTTTATTGCCAAGTTAATGTATCGTATGATGTAGAAATCATTATGCAAAGTTATGGGATTGCATTTTAGTCATTTTAGTTTGAGCATCACTGATTGTTATTATGGACAAAATGATTAGTGAATTTTTAAGTGTCTAAATATATATATTATGTAATTAATAAGGCAGTAGGCAGCATTACTGAATTGCAATGCTTATTTTAACAGGTACCAAAGGAACAGGTGTACATGAACACAGCAACTACCAAAGCCCTGAATGCGCAAGAGGCCATCATGACAGCAATGAAAGCAGTGTTTTGGATGGCCAAGGAGTGTATTCCACTTTCTAAGTACAGTTCTTCAATGAACTTTCTCCAAACAGTAGAATTTCCAGATATAGGTCAGCTGAAGTGCTGCAGTGCAGTCTCATACTGCTGCAGTTACAATACTGCAACTGGCATACTTGATGTTTTATCTTGTTTAATTGATGAGAACATTTCACTACAGATTCACCAGTCATTGCTGTCTTATGTGATGAAAGTGTAGATATTTTAGTTCACCATAAATTGGTAATCCACTAACTTTAGCCCCCAAAACCTTTTTTTTTTTTTAAAGACTTGTATATTTCTGATGGAACTGGAAAGTTGATATTTACAGATATAAAGATACACTTGGCATCCAGTGGAGTAAATCAGAATATAATTTTCTATTAAAAGTTATTTTATGAACACTGTTACACACATGCATAAGTGGATGTTGCTAAAATGTTGCCATGGGCTTTGTTATATTAGTTAGTTTATTTTTGTTTAGGTGTTTAATTCTGATTATTTATATGCTGAGAATACTTCTCAGATTTCATCTAAAAAAACAAGAATAATCTTTAATATTAATTATAATATAAATTATAAATGCAATTAATAAGGGTCACAATTAAATTGTACTGACTATTAGTGACATTATAAATAGACTTGTGGCCCAAGCATGCATTGAATGCTGGGCACAATGTTTCGCAAAATGGCACACTTTTCAATCTTGAGTGTGCCCAAATGGCACACTTGACCTTCAACCTAGGGAGATCCCTGAAACATCGTTATTGAATTTGCCGGAAAGTGCAATCGGCAATTCTCTGCTAATTCCGCAAGCTCCATACTGTCATTGTCGACTGCGGAGACATCCGAGTAGTTCCGAGTGTGGAAAATGAGCTTTCTGCGCATGCGTATTATCACCACATGGAAATATGGCCGTTTTGCCGTCAACTTCATCTCTAGCATTAATTTCAAAATACACGACAATTAAAGTCATAAAGAGAACGGGGGCCGTCGTTTTGGATTGGTTTGCCATTGATATTGGACATGGAGATATCACCCTTTTACAATTTTACGAAAGGCTGGCCACGGCCAGCAATCATCGCCCGGAAAATTTCAGTGACATTCTGTCCACAGCAGCACATACCAGTTTCTTTTTGGAGCGAAAAAAGGGTCGACAAGAGCGTCGCGGTATTTGGTGGACTGAAGGTCGGACAGGCCACCCGATAGTTGGCTGCTAGCGTGTGAGTCGAAGTAGACAAAATGGCATCGACCGAAATTACCTTAGTAGTAGGAAGCATAGGCCTATCTTTGCTTAATTTTTTAAACAATTCTGTGAAGTGTTTACAATGCTTTAATTTTCTGAGAGTACAAATAAAGACACGCTATTTATTTGATATTTGTTTTATTGGTTTCTATAAAAATAGAATGCATGAAATAACCTTAAACAGATTTGGTAATATGCAGCATATATATTCATGACTTTTTACCTTTCTACGAAGTAGGCCCTATTCACAATGCTTTAATATTTTGAGAGCATGGATAAAGACATGTTGTTAGTTTGAAACGTGTTTCTGTGGTAAATTAGTGTTTCCAGCTGTGTACTGAAAACATAACTTTTCTTAAGCAGTTTTTTTTNAATAGATTTGGTAATATGCAGCATATATATTCATGACTTTTTACCTTTCTACGAAGTAGGCCTTATTCACAATGCTTTAATATTTTGGTAGCATGGATAAAGACATGTTGTTAGTTTGATACGTGTTTCTGTGGTAAATTAGTGTTTCCAGCTGCGTACTGAAAACATAACTTTTCTTAAGCAGTTTTTTTTTTGGACTGTTTTTTTTTTTTCGCCCGCTCGCACCGACTTTGGGGTCCCCAGAGGATGTCATCCATAAAAATAAAAATGTGTGGCCTTATTGATTGCAGAAGTAAACGAAAAAGGAAAATAGAAAGCTACCGGAAAAATACTTGTCCACGTATTTATATCAGTTTTCGCAAAATGCAAAATGTTTTAGCATGCTGAAAGTAAACCAGAAAATGAGATGATCTATAAATATTTTTCATATGGCTATCAACCTGCATATATGTATCTATTTATCTATCTACCGGTGTCATTAAGCACGTGTGATTACGTATATGCCAGTTCCAGATATGACGTAATAAGAAATTGAGTATATGACGTAATATTTTCCAACAAATGTTGATGATAGTATGGTCATTTACACCATTGGTACATACAACACGGTTATTACTTACTCATTATCGACGAATATATCTACTACTACACGTGTGGTAACTATTTGGAAATAGATGTAGTTCTGAAACGTGTACATGCAAGAACCCACATAGTCAGATATTATACAGTATTCTCAGCCAAGCTGAACATCATAGCTGTAAATGATTTTTCATGCAGCGCATGGAATGTGTTTTTTTGCCGTTGGAAGGAGGAATTCTTTACAATACGTATTAAGTTATTTTAGAGAGTATAATTGTAATCGTTCTACAGGAGGATATAGTTTCACTGCTTTGTAAAAGGAGATGTGTAGACACTCAATGTGAACTGAGGGAAAATGCAAAGGAAAACCACGGTCATGACACGCAACGATCTATATTTTCGTTATTGCAGCCTTTTTCCTAGAAGGATAAGGGTACATTTACAGGGACGTCGTTGACAAGAATGTAATTGGCTATGTTGCGGCTTGAGAGTTGTGCGGATAGACTCAAATTCCTTTTGCTAACAAGACTCTGGTATGTTTTCGTAATCATGAATTCAGATGACCATTGATTTGTGCATATTTCAACGCAGATCTGGTTCAGAGAGCTAAGGTCAGCAATCAGGGCCTTTTAACCCAACCATACGAAGATGGGGGTGGTCTTTATGTTCGTTACTCTAAATCTGAGACCAACTTCCATGTTTTTCTTTTTAAAGACGACAAAAAGCCAAGAATGTCAGTATCTTTTATTCATTATCATGACCTTTTCACTTCGTTACAGGTAAAGACTCGAACGTGCTTGCCAGGTGTTTTCCAGATGAGGACAGACAAGTGAGAGGAGCACAGCACGGAGCCACGGTCGCTCCTGTCTTGCCATTGCTGTAGTATATTTCGTCACTCGCGGAGAACACAAGCCATTCCATCGTCTTTCAAAATCTCGAACAAGTCACGAAACTACTTATGTGCATGTAACTACCTTTGAACCGTGATTTCTCATTGGCATGAAGGCGATCCCGTCTTTCCGGATTGAAGGGTTTTACATTGTGCTAAGCTCGTCGTCAGTTTTGTCGTCCACCTTGGACAAGCGGATTGTCTCGTTTTGCAACCACCGTCTTCCTCTCCCCCCAGCCTCCACCCAAGGACACTCTTTACCATAGCGGGAAATAACGAAGGCGCAAACTCTGCCCAAGTTTCGTGGAGCTCGGTATCAGACAGAGGGCAGAAATCAATGCATTTATTGCCACCTTGATCGATTCGTTCCCACATTGCTGGTCAACTGCCAGTTTAGCTATAAACTCTGGCGTTCGCCTCAGACGGAGAGTCCGAGTTAAACAACAACTAAAACAGAGGAAAAAATATTAGGAAATTATGTCAACAAACAAGGTGTTGTTGGTTGGGCATGTTTTACACTGGTGCATCCTAGTACTCACGACCACCGTGCACACATCCGGTATAGGAGAGAGCGGGGGACACTCGCGAAATGAAGGAGAAAAGAAGCTGAAACTACCCGGAGACATCATCTTCGGGGGGCTGTTCCCCATGCACGAGAAAGGCCCTGTGGGGAAAAACTGTGGCAAAGTGAAAGAAGAAAAAGGCATACAACGGATGGAGGCAATGCTGTACGCAGTCGATAAAATCAACAATGATGACAGTATACTACCAAACATAACCCTCGGCGTCCACATCTTGGACACTTGTTCTAGGGACAGTTACGCCCTCGAGCAGTCCATGGATTTTATACGGGCTCAGTTTAACAACTTCGACGAGGGGAATTACCAGTGCAAAGACGGACGCCTTCGTAAGTACGTGAAGTCAAGGCCTGTTGCCGGAGTCATTGGAGCGGCGTCCAGTTCCGTATCTGTCATGGTAGCCAATATTCTAAGATTGTTCAAGGTAAGTGGAGAAAGCGAAACTCTTTGTTTTGTTTCAGACATTTTTTTTGTAGTTTGTATTGTTTTATCGGATTGCAGAACAACTGTGATTGATCTTAAACTTTTACATGCAATGAGCTCCTTTGCTCTATCGTATTGGGTATAGTTACCAATTAAATATGTCTTTCCATGTGAAAACATGTACAGCCTAGTGCAAGTAGCAGAAGTGGGTGAACATGTAACATGGACATTAAATCTTCATGTACCGTACCAAACCAACCCACGCAAAGCCTACAAATCTGAATCCAAAATTATAACTATCCTAAAAACATAACTAATCATCTCCGGACTTCGTTTCCATACTCCTCCATTGAATTTTTATTCTAAATACCAAACTTAATTTTACCTTACTGTTTATACTGCAGTGTCACCAAGGTATTTGAATGGTTGAAATGAAATTCAGGAATGGCCAAAAAGTGTGCTGCCCTCACCCTTAATTTGCTGTTCGTTACTGTAGCCGTTAACATCAGTTAGTCTTTTACATTGCCAACCTGCGGATGCCATATTTTATTAACCCTTCAATCTTGCCATTTAACACATTGTGTCTTAATAAATTAATACTATCGATGATAACAGTTTGTAACATAACTTTTGTGTCGCTCTTTGCTAAGTCATTAATGCTTGAGTTAAAACACATTTTGGCACCGTCAGCTTTTTGTACCGGAACAATCGTTACAGCTTTTAACATTGGAATGAAGCAGCGCATAACGACAAACAGTTTGTTGTTAGCTCTTCTTCTTTTTTCTCCTGGTTTCTGAATCAACAAAGAATCTGCGTCCACTGAACTACTTCTTGAAAACCAATTCTTGGATGTTTTTTCAAATAATAAATTAATCATATATTTTTTACCTTTTTGGTGTGTGTTATTTGTGGACAAAGGTCGCCAACGTGCCATCCGTTTTACGGAAAATGCTTTAAGATATATGCCTTTTTCTTATATATATATATATATATATATATATATATATATATATATATATATATATCGTGGAGCTTGGTACCAGCCAGACTTACGAAACCCGTTGATTATGACGCCTGTTTGAGCACACTTTGTTTTGAAACCGACCTTCAGTTCTTAACTGGCAGTCAATCCCAGTAATTTGCCTGTGCACGCGGCAAGGGACATAAGACGTTTGCCAGTTTTTGTCGCATTTGTATGCCTAATCCGCCAGCAATTAGCGAGAGCTTTTAGTCACTGTAATTGCTCGACTCAATAATCTAATTCCGCGTAATCTTCCAAAGGGGACGCGACGAACGCACTGATTTTCCGTTTTCCCCATTACCGTGGTGTTGCCTATTAGGTAGAGCTGATGAAGTAGACGATGAATTATGCATTGCAGCTACATGAGAACTCTTCAATTCTATTTGATCGTTTAGTGTCGGACGTAGCAATATCCGGAACTACAAAGAAATTGGTGAGATTAAAAGAGGGCATCTTTAATACTGAATACGAATGCATCTTTCAAGACGGGAGTCAGGTGCGCATTTTTTTGTGTCTCTTGAGACAGATAATCTAGTAGCAGTGGAATCACGACATTTTTTTTTGTCTCAGCGAGCTAACATTGTCACGAAAAGCTTCAGAGCTTTTAATGAAAAGTGGAATGTCCCCAAATTACTTTGTGACATGCATTTGTCATTTGAGACTTTTGTTTTCGGATTTCTTCCATAGAGATTGAGAACAAAACAGACCGTTTTAAATTGTATACCGCCTTGAATGAATTCAGCATATACTATAGGTCATTTTTACTATTTCCTATGAACAAGAGAGACGTGAACAATCTACGGTTTATCTACAACCGATTATCTAGTGACATTTCAAAAGGCACGTTGCTTTGATTAAAGCATGGCTTTCATCTGCGTTATGTGTTATTGCCGTAGATATAGAAGAACTGTACATTTGATAAGCCTTGACATTTACACATCGCAGCCGATCATATGATCTGCCCCAGTCGTCTTAACAATCCTCTGTCATCTCTCTCTCTCTCTCTCTCTCTCTCTGATCTCGCTCTCACTCTCATGCTATTTTGGAGTGATAGAAAAGCCCCAATTAAATGTCACGGTAGCGTGAATAGGCAAAAAGAATGCTTTGTGTCATATCTTATATCAGACTATGTTCAGATGTGTTCCACGAAAACCAAGTGAAATAGTAGCTCTTTTCATTATTTGTTAAAAATGACAAGGCGAATAGTGCGTCATTTAGGGACATTGTGATATCAAATTACACATGTAAAAGCAGGGCAACATATCCACACAGACCATGCATTCGGCTGTTTGTCTATATAGTGGATGCAAAAAAAAAAAAAAAAAAAAAAAAGGTCTGAATTTTCATTTTCAAATATTTTCCCATAAAATTGTCCAATACACGGTCATTGCTTCTGACACAAAAACGGTTCTGAATTCTGTTACGTCTTTTTGGAGCACAATACAGATAGCATACATTGTAATCCCAGAACGCAATGCACGAATCAAGTTTTCAAGACTTTCTATTCAGTAAAGAATTAATTCCATTTGTGCATAGCACCAACTCTCAAATCAATGATCGCTACTACATGTATTAATAGTTGTTGCCCAAAATGCTCCCACGTTTCCTTGAGATTTATGTTCAGTTGAGATTTTTGAGTATTAATGTGACGTCAGTGCGTTGTGCAGAGGTAACAATGAACACAGATTGTTTCAACTCACTTCAACTCGCGAAATGTAATATGTGTATTGTTTTAATCAAGGGAGCAGTTATAATAAGTACTAAGCAGGGTATTCCAGAATAGAGACACGACGTCAGGGAAACCCAAATGCGTTTATCCAAGACAACACTTACGCAGAGGGTTATTGCACTTGTGCTCGACTCGTAGGTTTATCTTTTATTTAAATAATAGCGAATTTAAGACCGGGAAGGCAGTGTTTGATAATGATGCCAACCACATTGTGCTTAGTATGGGAAGAGCCATTATTTACCACGGTTGAAGATAAAGAATTACTACTGAAACCGAAGGGAATCGATAGACAAAGTTAGGAGATTATAGGCAAATAAATCGAGTTGGCAAATCAGTTTTGGTCTATATAAATTTTTCAAATGCTAAATCGACGTCCAAAGGGTCTATCAGCTAAAACTAGTTATTTATCAGATATCAGACAGTTTTCAACAGGGGAAATAGCATCCATGGCAAGCTCTGAATTTTGCCCCTTTCTGAACATATGTCACATACATGTATGTCAAACAAGACGTCACAAATGCTTAAAGTAACTTGACCATTATTTTATCTTAAACATACCGGCCTATTTTGTTAAATGTTTTTTGTTAGCAAATGATGACACTGCATGATAATAACGATTGTTCCTTCCTTCCTTCTTCTCTCAATGTGAAAAAAAACCCCGCTCAGTAGGGCCTCTTTTAAGAGGGACCCAACCAAGACGTCTTTTAGGACATCCAATGATCCACTGGGAAGATGCGATCTGCGGCACTTTTAATTTTCAATAGGAGCTGTTCGTGTTTCACATCGCATTACAAGAGCGTGTCACTCTTCAAAAAATAGTGCGATAGGTTGAGATGCTATCTTCAGTCTTGTCGGAAATGAAGAGAGTGCTGATTCTAAAGAAAGTGCATCCTTTCAATACTTTCTAGCTCTGCAAAAAGAAAGATACGAGTTGGCCGGAGAGTTGGGCGCGCTTGTATTTCACGATTTGGCAAGCAACAAATACATGCTTGCAGTTCGTGTGGTTTTGAACCACTCGTTCTACACGGTCAAACTCATAAATTACGCACTAGAAATAATGAAACTGGAATGAAGAACGCTAATGGAATGACGGATCCATCAACTGGATGGAAGGGTAACGCAACCGAACACATCAAGGAAAAATAAAACCGATAATATTCTTGAAATATTAATATTAAAAAAATGGAAACGCGTGTTTGCATAATAAGATGAGTGCACCCGCCTCCTAATGTTTGTGATAGTGTTTTCCTCCAAATCTGTGTTTTGCATGACTAATTTCTTGAGCAAGGTTCTTGGGGGACTCAATTAGTTGTGTACAAGGGCGAGTTCGTCACGGTGATTCCAGTGTTTAATATTTGAATGTAGACCCGTGCAGTGTTTAAGTTTTTAAGTTCATGAGAAATCTGGATTAAACTTTAAAAATAAATCAGCTCAGAGTTTTAACACCTTATGCAACGATAGATTACTAATATAAATTAAGTGGAATAATCAATCTTTATTGAACGTAAAGAGGATCTTTCTTATTGGAACTTTTCCTACAGAACCCAGAGTTAGGGGTACTGTGCATATTTTGACAAGTAGTCACGTGCACAAAATCACTTTTAAAATGTGAAAGTGATTAATAAGATATGATTGGACATTCTTTTACATTAAATTTTGCCAGCACGGCTGTTCCACAATTTAAGGTTTTTAGGATATATCATGTGCCATTAAAGCAAAATATTTTTGGAATACAATGAGGTGCAAATCAACTTAAACCATGATTAGTTCCCATAGAAGATGGAAGTTTTACATATTTTTATGAAAACCAATGTGAAAACGATTCTTGAAGCATTGTGCCGCTGTACAGGAATACTACAAAACGCAATGGAAAAGAAATCTACTAATAGTACTTATGGTCACTCCATGTAAGCCCTGATAACTTGATTTCCCAAATGCCTAAGAAACATTTTAGTTTTTAATAACATTTAATCCCAAGTCAATTCAAATGGTTTACGGCAGTAAAAAGGCCTTGAAAGCCTTATGTAACGCTATATAACCTATATAAAGACGATGCTTTGAATCAGTTTCGATTCGTGATGAGAGTTCATCCAATTAGTATCGGGAAAAGCTGCAGGCGATATTTCTGCACTAGAAATCCTACGTGCAATAAGATTAAATGGCTGAGCACGGCTTAACCTTGTAGATAAGCTTTAAGAAGTTGACTATTAAACACATAAGTTGACAAAACAAAAGCAGACCTGTGGCGCAT